GAATAAAATACATATACCTAATATAAATTTTTCACACACATCCAAAAACTTCATTTTCCTATTATCTTTCTTACATTACAATTTTTTTAAACTATCTAACAATTCCAATTTATTCAAATTTTAATAAAATTATTTTTTTCATTTAACCTTAATTATACTTTTTTTAAAACTTATTATTTTACCTAAAACAAATTATTATCAAAAAACCCCCCCTCCAAATTTCTCCTCCCTATACAACGTCTATCCTATATTTAAATCTCCACTTTCATAAAAGTTATAATCATATCATCTTATCATATTAATATAATTACAATAACAAAAACCACCTTCAATTTAATTTTATATAAATTAACTATATATATTATATAATCTCATATTACCTTAAATTTTTTTAATCTATATAATAATTTAAATTATTTCTAACACTTTTACATTAATTTTTTTTCTAAACTTTTCTCTCTATTTATTCATTTTAATAAAAATTACTCAATTAGTATTTATTCTAATATTTCTTACTACAATTTTATCTTTTATTTATAATAACTATATAAAATTATATTCATTACAATTAAACATTTATAATCTTACAATTTATTCATCTCTAATTAATAACTATACAATTTTTCTATATAATTCTCTATATTTTCATACTTCTACATTTATTATACCACAAATTATTACAATTCCTCTCCATTTCATATCATCACCTTTTTTTATCAAAATAATATTATAAACTTTCAACTAAATATAATATAACTTTCTAATAATAGTACTTATTAAAAATTTCATTTAATAACATTATATATAATAAAAATAATATTTAATTTATTCATACTTAATATAAACTCAAAATACCTCCTTAACACACATCTACTACTATATTTTACATATTTCATAATATTATAGTTCAATCAAATTATATTATTTTCATTATATAATTTAAAATCATTTTTAACACACAAAATATATACATTAAATCACTAAATCAAATTATTACTTACATTTTCTTTTATTCTAAACTTCTATCATTTTTTTTTTTCACTAACCTTTCCTTTTTCCATTCTACATTCCTTCTACTACCTCCTCCTCCTACCTCTTCTTTCATTCCCTA